AATGCAGATTGGTCATGGAGCAATCATAATTTACCCTGCTGATTATTAAGAGTGCATTATAAAGTCATGCATGTGGTCCCACCGGACTGTGCAAAATGTGCATTGCCTATAGCCAAGAACAGGGCCTCACTTCAGGAAAAGAGGACTTTGACACAAAAGTGCAGTGTTAAACTATTTTATAAGTGCATATCAAAATGTTAATACATATAATTTTTTCTCTCTACTCTTAAAATAAAAATGAATATAGTTAAATGATAAACATTTTATTGTGTAAGCCATGCATTCTTTTTCCCCAATCGTTGTATTGGCATATAATTCACTATCACACAATGCAATAGTTCAATCCCATCAAGAAGAGTAGTACAGTCATCACCACAGTCAGTTTTAAAACATTTTCTTCATTCTTGTACTCATCGTTATTCTCTCCCCATTTCCTCCCAACCTCGTTTGCCGTATCCCCAGAGAACCATTAATCTAGTTACTGCCTGTATAGATTTGCTTATCCTGAATTTCACATAACAATAATAACTAAGTAAAACAGGAAAAAACCTCAGTCAGCTTTACAATACTCCCTGTTTGATAGCAGGGCTCTTCACATCCTCCATCTGGGATTAGAGGGAATCCACTGGAGTAAGCATGGATTCGTGGTGAAGTTTATTCTTGGGGGTGCAGGGCCAAAAAAGATCCCTCTATCAAGTATAGCTATATAAGCCATGCATAGAAGAAAATATAGCTGTGGTATTAAAATATTATGGAGAGGGGAGCCAACAAGGAAGAAATTGTTTTAAAATGCTTCTTAAGGAAAAAATGTTGAGCAGCACGATTAAAGCATTCATATATAAATACATTTTTTGTTTGTTTTTTTTAATTTGACCTCTGAAAAAGAAAAAGGCTGATAATGTCAGTAGCATGGTTTAGAAACATCTAACATGTTCTTAATGATTTAGAAACATATCTCAAACTATTTTGCTTGATAGTGAAAAATTTTTTAGGTACTAGAGTACACTATTGGATTTGGTTTGTTGAATCACATCAATTAAGGAAATACAAAATTAACTCATAAAAAAAGATTCCCTTGCTATTCATTTACCTGTCACTTTGTTGTCTTGTGGTAGTTGCGTGTTGTGGTGCTGCTGGAAGCGTTGCCACTGCCATTTCAATTACCCACACGGTTACAATTGGGCAGATTCAGTGGAGCTTCCAGTGAAGACAGACTAGAAGAGGGGTGTGGCAGTCACGTCCGCGGGGGGTGGGGGGTGGGGGGGGTGGTCGTGGTGAAAAAAAGGCCATTGAAAAACCTTAACAAAAAAAAAGAAAAGAAAAGGAAAACCTTATGAATAGCATTGTCTGATATAGTGCCAAAAGATGAGCCCCTCTAGTTGGAAAGTATTCAAAATACAAAAGGGAAGAGTTGCCTTTTCAGAGTTGACCTTCAGGACACCGGTGGAGCACAACTTTTGAGACCTTCATTTGCTGCTAAGGTACAATTCAAAATACAAAGAGAGAGCTGCAAACATCTATTAGTAATCAGAATGTGGAATGTAGGAAGTATGAAATTGGAAGTCACAAAAAATGAATTCGAATGTAGAATGATCCATATCCTAGACATCAGTTACCTGAAATAGACTGGCTGTGGCCATTTCTAATAGGGCGATCACGATCGACTTTGCTGAGAATAGCAAATCAATAGCAAAATAGCATCACATTCATCATCAAAAAGAACATTTCAACAATGCCAGCATAAGGTATTATTCATATGACTACAAGGAAAACCATTAATAGGATGATTACTCAAATGTATGGACCAACCACTAAAGCCAAAAAAATGAAGAAACAGAAGATTTTCTTTGTTAAATTAACTTCTCCAGTCCGGAATTGATCAAACATGCAAGTAAGATAGATTGAGAATTACTAGTGACTATAATGGAAAAGTTGAAAACAGAGAAGAATCAGCCATTGGAAAACATAGCCTTGACAGTAGAAGCAATGCTAGAAATCCCATGATATAATTTGGCAACACCAACTACATATTTGTTGTAAATATATTTTTCAACAGCATAAATGACAACTAGACACACAGATCATGCCAAAGAAATATACAGGAGTTAGATCAACTACATCTGTAGAAAAGAGAGATGGAGAATCTCAATATCATCAGTCAGAACAAGGCCAGGGGTCAAATGCAGAACACACCATCTTATGCAAGTTCAAATTGAAGCTGAAGAAACAAGTTCACAGTACCCCACACATGCTCCCAATAGCCAATATACAATCTTGAGTATAACCAAGCCGAATTTAGAGACTATTTCAAGAACAGATTTGACTCATTGATCACTAATGACTGCAGACCAAATTGTAGGATTGACATCAAGAACACCATACATGAAGGAAGCAAAAGGTCACTAAAAAGACAGGAAAGAAAGAAAAACTAAAGTAGATGACAGAAAGACTCAGAAACTTGCCCTTGAACATGAAATAGCTAGAACAGAAGGAATAAATAATGCAGTGAAAGCTAATCAGGAGAATTTGAAAGGGAGGCTTGAACAAGACATATTTTAATGAAGTTGCAAGGACATGGAATTAGAAAACCCAAAGGGAAGAACATGCTCAGCATTTCTCAAGCAGAAGCAACTGAAGAACAAAAATTTAAGCCTTGAGTTGCAATATTGAATAAGTCTACGGCCAAAATATTGAATGATGCAGGAAGCATCAAAAGAAGATGGAAGAAATATAGAGGTACTATGCCAGAAAGATTGGTCTACATTCAGCTCTTTCAGGAGGTAGCCTAAGATCAAGAACTGATGGTATCTAAGGAAGAAGTCCAAGCTGCACTGAAGGGCATTAGCAAGAAACAGGGATCCCAGAATTGATCAAATATTTCCATGGGAAGTGAAACGTTTTAACAAACAGATGCAATGCTGGAAGGATTCACTAGTCTATGCCAACAAATTAAGAAGGTGCTTGGTCAACAGGCTAAAAGAGAATCATGTTCATGCTCATTCCAAAGAAAGACGATCCAAGAAAAATGCAGAAATTGCCAAACAATATCACACACAGTAAAATTTGATAGTACATAAACATTTGCAGCAGAACATTAACAGTAACAGAAGTTCAAACTGAATTCAGAAGAGTATGTGAAATGAGGAATATCGTTGTAAATGTCAGCTGGATCTTGGCTGGAAGCAGAGAATACCAGAAAGATGTTTATTTGTGTTTTATTGACTATATAAAAGAATGTGACTGTGTGGCTCATTACAGATTCTGGATAACTTTGTAAATAATGGGAATTCCAGAAGACTTCATTGGACTTATGTGAAACTTGTACATAGACTAAGAGTTTTCATTTGAACAGAGAAAGAGGTATTGAATGGCTTAAAATCAGAAAAGGCATGTGCCAGGGTCATATCCTTTCACCATATTTTCAATTTGTATGTTGAACAAATAATTGAAGAAGCTGGCATAAGGATTGGAGGAAAACATAGTAGTACACTGCAATTTGTAGATGGCACAACCTTGCTGGCTGACAGTGAGGAAGACTTGGACTTACTGATGAAGGTCAAAGACTTTGATCTGGACTACACCCCAATGTAAAGAAAATAAATCCTCACAACTAGACCAATAGAAAACATCATGATAAACAGAAGAGATCAAGTTGTCAAGATTTCATTTTGCTTTGATCCATGATCTACATTGATGAAATCAGCACTCAAGAAATCGATTAATGTGTTACACTGGGTCTATCTGCCACAAAAGACCTCTTTAAAACGCTAAAAGGCCAGGGAGGGAAAATAGGGGAGGGAGGGGGAAAATGAGGAGCTGATACCAAGGGCTCACGTATAAGAAAATGTTTTGAAAATTATGATGGCAACAAATGTACAAATGTGCTTGACACAATGGGTGCGTGTATATATTGTGATAAGAGCTGTATGAGCCCCCAGTGAAATGATTTTTTTAAATGTAAAAGGCCAAGATGTTACTTTGAAGTCAAATGTGACCCACACCATAGTACTTTCAATCACCTCTGAAGCATATATGAAGGCTGGACAATTAATAAAGAAGACCAAAGAAGAATCGATGTCTGTGAATGACTGTGTTGGTGAAGAATACCGAGTACATCACGGACTGCCAGAAAAACAGACATCTGTCTTGGAAGAAGAGAGCCAGAATGCTCCTTAGAAGTGGTGATGCTCGATTTTGTCTGATGTACTTCAGCTGTGCTATCACGAGGGACCAGTCCTTGGACAAGGACAGCGTGCTTGGAAAAGTAGAAGGTTGGTGAAAACGAAGGAAAGCCCTCTTGGTGATGAGGATGGCGCCAGACCGTCCGGTGGTTTGTTGGGTTGTACATAGTCAGAATGGATTGGTTACCCCCCAGCACCAATAACAACAACACCTCTGGCAGGAGACTTCTATTGAAAAGTCATATTTTACTTTGAAGTGATAAATATCTGGTTTTTAAATGATGCTTTTGAATTGTGGTGCTGGAAAAGAATATTGAGAATACTGCTAAAAGGACAAATTGATCTCTATTGCAAGAAGTAAGTAAGGGGCAAGGATGGCAAGACTTCGTCTTACAGACTTTGGACATATTATGAGGAGAGACCAGTCCCTGGAGAGGGATGTCATGTTTGGGGAAGAGGAGGTGCGGTGAAAAGAGGAAGGCCCTTGACAAGATGGACTGAGCCAGCGCTGCATCAATGGGTTTAAGCCTGGGGACCGTCGTGAGGATGGCGCAGGACCAGGCCGTGTTTCATTCTGTTGTGCACAGGGTCGCTGTGGGTCAAAGCTTGGTCAGTGGCACCTCACAACAACTGTAGCCCTCACATTCAGTGGCTTTGAGACCGTCGGTTCTTAGCTAACCACTGGCAATCCTCTGCTGGTTGTCCTCTTCAGATGTATGTCCAGTCCCATCGCCATGTTTAGACAAGGTCTTTGTAGATCAAAGATACTTTTTAAAAAAACATTTCTGCTTTATTGTGTTTCTCTGGCCTATATCCCAGGGAGGTTGAAAGCAGAGCCAAAGTGGCAGAAGAGAGGTTTGATGAAGTGAATGAGAAACTCCATTATACCCTTATAAAAAATAGAGAACTTGAGAAGGAGCTAGAAGACATATTCTTGCAATCTCAGAAGAAGGAGGCCGAAGGAGGAGAGGAAGAAGGAAAGGATGCAGAGAGAGAAGAAGAAGAGAGAGATGATGACGAAGTAAGGCAGACATCAAGTTACTCGAAATTTGTGAAGAAAGGTGAGGCTTGTCTTCCTTTTTATGCTTTGCTTATGTTGTGTTTTCTCAAGGAAACGTAACTGCACTACAATCTTAGAACGCCCACGTCATAGGAATGCCTGCACATCTAACTCTATCCCTGTGTTCTTCAGACAACTCACAAAGAAGGAAAACCACACGACTAACAAATGTGCAACCAAAACTAAGATAAGATAAACAATTTTTACTTATAAAAAGATTTTGTAAATTATTTTTTTACAAATGAAATCCAGTCCCATGTCTTTAGGAATTTGTATGTAAGCCAGACCAGGGGCACATGGCTTAGGGTTAGAGGCTGGGCTGCTAACCAGAGGCTAGAGTTTCCAACCCCCAAGCCGTTCTGTGGGAGGTAGAGGAGGCTGTCGGCTTCCTTATAGGTTTACAGCCTCGGGAACACTACATAGGGTCATGGAGCTGGAGCTGATGCAGTGACGGGGAGGTTTAGGGTTAGTGCAAGAAAAAGGTTAATTAACACTTTTCTAGGATTTAAAACTGCACATTCAGCAAATAAAGGAGAATGTGATGAAGAATTTGTTGCAAGTAGGGGTTCAATCGCCTCAAAGTCAGGGCAAATTTACATATCATTAAAGGGCAAATAAATGTCGTCTTTAAGTTGAGTATAACGCAGGGACTCCCTACCTATATATATATAAACAAGACAGTTTTCATGAGCTATTTCAGCCTCTCTCATTTAGTATGCAACTTTATTCTGATTATTTGAGAACTAGATCTTTTCCAAATTGCAGAAAAATAGACAAACCACACAAAAGGTCTATGTGTTACGGTGGAGAGGCGAGTTCAATATGGACTGAGGAGTTTTGGGTTTTTTGCTCATTAACCAGGAGAGCAAGTGTAAATCCAGAACTAAGATGTTTGAATAAATTAAGTAAGACAACATCGATATACCATCAGTCCTCAAGATGGAACAATAGGCTATACAAACGGAGAGCCATCTTTTCCCTCCCTCCAGACATTCCATTCCAGCGCTTCCCATGGACTCTCAGTAGAGGACAAGAAGTGTTGCACAGCGTAGGAGAGCTGGCTGCTAAGCCAGGCAGTTCTCATGTCCTGCAGGAGAGCGGAACTCTTCCTCCTGCAAGCTCCTAATTTAGGTGTTCTTTAAGATTAGCAGACACTCCCTTTAAAGACTGCCAACTGCGGCCACTGCCATAATCAGATGAGTTAGTGCAGTGCGACCATTTTCTCCTGAAAGTTTCACAGTGGTGGGATGGAAAGTGATATGGCAAAGGAAGAAATCCTAAGAATTCTGAGCAAAAAGAAGATGTAGGATGGTGCCAGAGAAGATGTATTTACTTTCAACGACATGTTCGTATTGGTACTGTTGGGCAAAGTGCTGTGTTCTGAGCTGTGAGTTGAGACTTCCGGGAAGATGGTGTCCATGGAGGGATACACGTCCATAGCTCCCTGTGAGTAATTGCCGGATTTGCGGGTGAGCTGGCCAATTCAGGGGATTCTGACCTAGCCCTGGCCATGTAGTGCCCCGGGGACCTTATAGTGGTTTCCCTATAGTGGACACAGCTGTGCTAGGCCACCTGGGATTCCCCTGCACCGGAGAACTGGGTACCAAGCCCTCTGGCTCACTGGTGCTCCCTGGCTTTTCCCAGCCCTGGAGATCCATGCCCACCAAGTTCCCCTGAGGCCCCCACCCCCACCCCCACATGTGTCTTCATCTGATCGGTGTCTACAACCGGTGCCTGCACCCAGCTGACCAGCCTGCGCACAGGACAGGTCCCCTGAGCAGCTTCCTACCCCAGCATAGACCCTGAACACCGGTCCCACCTGTCGTGATTGGCCTGAATGGCGCTTGTGACTAGCCTGCATACAGGTCTCCTGAGTTTCTCCCTTACTCCCGTGGCCCATGAGTGCCAGCCCACACTGTGTGTGATGGCCTGCCAAGTACCACCCACTCTGCCTGCAACCCCCCTTGCCCAAGCTGTGCTGCCCTCCAAATTGGTAACTCTGGCTATCGCAGAAGAAAGTGAACTCCAGTGAGATAGACACACAGGTCAAATCTGCAGTGCAGCTGGTTCCAGGTAGTCCTTTGTATCATTCTTACTAGCCTCTGAGAAAGAATTCACAGCACTCCAGGACTCCCAGGAAAATGGTGCTGAGCACCAACTAAACGCCACACAGACAGCAACCCACATCAGCAGCCACTACAAGAAAGCAAGAAAAATAAAATGAATTGTCTGAGAAGGACCTCGTACACAGACAAAGCAGTCTTTGAGCTGCCACAAAAAGACATCTTCAGAATGCTGCTTAGGGTCATATAGGATATGAGGGAATCAATACAGAAAAAAGATGAAAAAATAGAGGATAGAGTCCACATGCTGAAGGAAAACACAGAAACAAAGACAGTAAAAGAACTCACAAACAGGCTGGAAGAAGCAGAGAACTGTATCAGCAACCTCAATAGAGGAAGAAATTGAGAGGAAAGTTCAAAGATGAATAGAACTCCGTTTCTGATATCAGGGAGAAGGATACCTGAAACCAGTACAAAGATGTGGACAAAGGGGCCCAGAGGTGGGGCGAAGGTGGTGGAAGGCAGTCTAAAGGGTTTAAATGGGGAAGCCACTTTAGATGCACAGCCCAAGATGGCAGTGGTTGCCCACACCCATCCCAGGGGTGGGGGTGTTTATTCAGGATCTGGGCACAGCAGTAGGAGGAGCAGGGACAGGGAGACAGAGAAGCACAGGAATGGGTATGGGGAAATTCTGAAGGTAACCAATTTGAACATTTTTTCCACCAGGCTGGGGTGTGTACAGCAAAGAAGGAGGCCATGTTCTTCCTCTTCCTCTTCCTCTTCCTCTTCCCTGCTGCACCACAGAGAGCTAGGACCCCAGCACCCAGAATGCCCATAAGTAATCACATATAAGCATTAGGAAAATACATGCTCAATCCTAGTAACCAGTTTAGAGTTAAAAGTTTGGCACACAGCCTGGGAATAACTTGTGGGTCACTCAGAAATAACAGGATTAAAAACAACTGCCCTGGAAAGGCCAAAGTCCCCAGTAAATACACAATTACTATAATATCCTAATTGTTTGCTTGTTTTCAGAAGCACAGCCGAAGGAGAATAATCTCAACCTTAAATCCAAAAGCAAGAATAAATCCAATCAGAAAAGCAAATCGAAGCAGCATCCATAGGGAGCAAGACACACGGTGACCACAGCCACTGAGCCTGACCCCAGTGCCTGCCTCTGTGCTGGAGAGCCGGCAATGTGGCCCACGGTCTCTTTGCAACAGCCACCAGAAAAGCCATGACACACAGCCCAAGTCTCCGAGATGGCCATGGGGAGTCAGTTTGCTGGCTGGATTAAAAATCACTTGTACCAAAGTTTGCTGTCTTCTCCCACTTATTTCCTAGTTGGGGGTCTGTGAACTGTCAGTGTCTGTCAAGAAACCAATGCAGAGAAGATTGGGAAACAAAATGTTCCAATTTCGAAGAGAAGACCCTGATAAAGCTATTAGGTTTCTACAGCATTTTCAGCTTTCTTTTTTTAAAAAAATCATTTTATTGGGGGCTCATACAACTCTTATCACAATCCATCCATACATCAATTGTGTAAAGTGCATTTGTACATTCATTTCCCTCATCATTCTCAAAACATTTCCTCTCTACTTAAGCCCCCGGCATTAGGTCCTCATTTTTCCCCTTCCTCCCCACTACCCCCTCCTTCAAGAGCCCTTGATA